CTGCTGAACAGTCATGTTTGATGAAGTCATAGAACCTGCCTACCATTCAGTTTTCTATGCAAACATCTCATTTTTGTCTAAACTGCTCTTGCTGTGTTTCAGAACAGATGAGTTCATTCAAAAGACTATCCGAGAAAAGTTTGCTCAGTGCACAGTGCTAACCATCGCACACCGCTTGAACACCATTATTGACAGCGACAAGATTATGGTAAGACAGTCAACTGCTTAAATTCTTTTTTTCCCTGAATAAGATAATTTTGTTGACTTTTTCTTCTTAATTTTGATCCAGAAATGGGCAGAAGTTTAGCTCTCCTTTAGGCTTATCTTAGTTAACCTACGGTGATTGGTAACTCGTAAAACTGTAGAAGTAATGACCTGAAAAGACTTCTTGCATTGTTTGGCCCTGTGGTTTCCAGCCTGCAAGGCATGACCAGGTGAGCTGCAGCAGCAGACCTGAGTAATAAGCTCTGCCAGTGCTAGGAGCCTGAGGGGAAGCACCCAGGAGGCTCTGGACAGAGTCAGCTGAATTCAGTCAGGTTTATTAATTCAGTCTCAGTGGACTGAGGGAGGCAATGACAATATTGTGTTAGTGGTGTGGGATGTGCTAGAAGGAAGTGGTAGAGGGCAGGAGACATGGTGGTTAAGGAAGCAGCAGCTGCCCTTTGGCAAGGGTGGTGGTGAGAGAGGTGGAACTAGACTGATGAGGTTATGAACATGGCTAGCTTTCTAAAGCAAGGTTCAGACAGAAAATATGAAGCACTGCCTCTGTCATCTTTATTCCCTATAGAGCAGTGATGTTCGCTGTCTCTGAAATACCCTCGCTGCCATCCTGCCTGCCCCAGGATGCATTGCACATGCACAGAAGATGAGAAATCCTTCCTGATTATTTTCATAAAGGAGATGGTCTTCCCTAGGCTCTCAGGAAATCTGGCTGGTCTGTGTCCTTGAAATGATGTGTAGCCCACAGTTTTGCAATTTTCTGCAATAGGAAAGGAGCTCTTTGCAAACATTTTCTAAACAGCCAATTAGCAAAGTAACTGACATAGTAAATCGTATTCATAAGGGGAACTCAAACTTCACTGGACTTCAAGCAGAAATTACCCTTCCCCTCGCAGTGATGACCTTAAAAACAAACAAACAAACCAAAAACCCATTGAGCTTTGTGTGTATGTGTGTGTGAGAGAGAGAGAGAAAATGAAACACGTTAATTCTTTCATTATTTTTTACTGAATGCTCCAAACATCTTAAAATCTATGATTAAGAGTTATAGCAATTGCCCACAGTATGCACAAATGAAAAAAAAGAAAATCATGAAAAATCTGAAAATCATTTAAAAAAAAAAAAAAGAAATCTGAGGTGAGTGGTGTTCTGAGGCATAGAACAGAATAAATTGTGAGGTGAGTGATTATAGTTTACTTGCAAAGAGAGAAACCAGCAGAACTGTCATAATAAGTCATGTATTACAAGCATTTAAAGTGTAATAAATAAATATTTTCTTCCCTGGTGAATACCTCCCCACAAGTCGGATGTATATATTGGTGTTTTCTACAACTAAAGTGAACAAAAGACTTATGCAGAAACAACTGTGACCTAATTAATAGCTGTGTGTGTTTGTTAGCTGTCCAAAGGGATTTCTGTGGGTTTTGGTTCATTAACTACCATTAATATGTTATGCACGGAATGCTCTTTCCATGAAGATTTTTTCTTAGTTTACCTTTTAATATCATACAATTATAATGAAAGCTAAATATTTTTATTTACTTTTTTACTAAAAAGCATTTGAGCAAAGCATGCAACTTGGAAATCATCTTTCTCCCCAAACTACTCAGTGTCTTATTACGAAAGGTATAGCTATTCTATTGTATACTGACTCTAAAAATACTATTTTTAACCTTATGTTGTTTCAGTTTAGGCCCTACTAAGAGTTCTGCTTTCCTAAAAGGCCATTTATATTCATACATTGTCTAATGCAATCTTTTTAGAATAGTTTAATGATGTCTTCAGAGTGTATTAAGCGTACACTCTGAGCGTATTTGCAAAAAGTTGTGCCTTAGGGTCCACAGTCTTCAGTAACTTAAAACATTTTTTGTCTTTTTATATTACTTCATTTTGATCTTAAGACTTCTATAGTTTTTTGGAACGCAGGAGAGCAAGAAGAATAATACAGAAAAAAGGAGGGAACTGACACACACAACCCATTAAGAAATCTGTTTTCTTGACATCCTTATTGATTCTGAGTAATGCATTCTGTTTCCATGCAAAGTGGAAATACTATAGTATATTAAGACTGACCAGAGTTATGACAGGTGTACCTCTGTTATACTTTTTAAAATGATTATTACTTTATTTACTCAGGTGTGCACCTCCTAGTGGGAATACAACAAAATTTTGAAAGAATAATGAAAATATGTGTTAAAAATCTAACAAAGAAGAATGCCCCTCTAGAACAACTAACAATTAAATGAGTATCATTTACAACAAAAACAGCATTCATTGAAGGTTAATCATTACTTAAATATTAGGAAATTTGAGAAAATTTGGCTAAAGAAGGCTTTTAGTTTTAAAATTTCATCTCTCAATAATATATTTTAGTAATATACAAATTTAACTTGATGCACATTCTTTAAGAGTAAAAATGCACAAACTGAAGTGCACTGTTTTTCCTTACTCAGTGTTCTTGAACCTTTTGATTTCGTTTCCCCTGTAACTGAGACGTCTAGATGCAATAATGCCTGCATGTATAAGCCATCCCAAATCCCTATTGTTTGCTATCAGGGTAAGCTTGATAGAAAAATGAGTGAAGAGCAAATATGGAACCTGACAGTTGTAATATTGACAATTGTCTTCTGACACATAATAAAGTTGTTCTTCAAGCAAATGTTGATCAAAATTGTTCAACACTCTTGACTCAATCGCAGAAGTCCAAGTCCTGTTCTTAAACGAGTCACATAATCTGAATATAAGCTAGCGCAAGCTAAGCATTTTTTTTCTTCTTCCCATGGAATCATTCAGGTTGGAAGGGACCTCAGGAGATCTGAGATCTGAAGGAGATCTGTAGTCTGAAGTCCTACTCAGTGTGGTGAGCACTAATTTCAGACCAGGTTGCTCAGGACTTTGTCCAGTTGGGTCTTGAAAATGTTCAAGGATGGAGATTCCACAGCCTCTCTGGGCAACTTGCCCCAATTACCCCTGCTGTGAATTTTTTTTTCATTATATCCAGTTGGAAGCTCCTCTCATTTTATGGCAAATGTTTCTTGTTTTCCCACTGTATACCTCACTAAAGAGCCTGGGTCCATCTCAGTAACTTCTTTGTAAGCGTGGGAAGGCTGCTGTTAGGTCCCCCCCAAGCCATCTCTTCTCCAGGGCGAATAAGCCTTGCTCCCTCAGCCTTTCTTCCTGGGGCAAGTCCCCTGACCATCCTGGTGGGCCTGTGCTGGACTCCCTCCAGTTTGCCCTTGTCTGTCTTGTACTGGGGGTCCTAAAACTGGACACACTATTTCAGATTTGGTCTAATGAGCACTGACTAAATCACTTCCCTTGATCTGCTGGCTATACCTCCTGTTGATACAGCCCAAGATGGTTTCACCCTTCATGACTGCCATGGCGCGCTGCTTGACTCTTATTTAGCCAACTGTCCACCAGAACTTCAGCTCCTTTTCCGCAGAGGTGTTGCCCAGACAGTTGCTCCCCTGGTGCAGAGGGTTAGTCCATCCCAGATGTGGATTTCATATAGGTCTCTGTTGAATTTCATGAGGTTCCTGTTGGCCCATTCCTTTAGGCTGTCTAGATCCCTTTGAATGTCATCCTTGTCTTGAGCATATTGACTGCAATCCCAAGTTTGGTGTTGTCCACAAACTTTTGATTAAATTCAGTTTAATTGCTTGTTAGGCTAGAACTTTCCAAAAAGAAAATGTTCACCTTTAGGGTTAATCCAAACATTAGAAAAAAAAGAGCAAAAAATAATTCTAAGGAAGTCATGAGAAAATGTCAAGTTGGATGAGTATGGAAATAGGAACTGAATGTGAACTGTTGCATGTCTGCTCCTAGCCATTGTAATAACCGGTTCTATTTCAGAAGAAAAGAAAAGCCTACTGGAAGAGGAAGAAAAAGGAACAGAATACATTTTATACAACTGTAGACAAATCTGGCCTCAGGAGTTATTTTAATTCTTGTTTGTTCCCTTCCCAAAACTATACCTCTAGTTTCATAATCCAGGTCACACCTTAAAGAGTATTTCCATTATATCTATCTAAGTGATAAATACATTTTATCAGAACTTCAAACACTTAAAATCATTGAGGGAAGAGCTGTATTGTGTAATGTGATACTCCTAACCCAATCACCTCAGTGAGTAATATTGCGTTGCACTTGCATAGGACCTTTCATCTGGAAATTGTAACGCTCTTTACAAACATTAATTAATTAAACTTCAAACACCTGGGTGAGATAGGGAAGTATCCATACGATCTTTGGAACCAGGGTTGGAAAGACTTGTTAAGTCAGGCCATCAGATAATACTACCATAAAATTATAATCCAGCGGTTTTCAAACCTTTTATTTTTTTTTCCTGTACTGTTCCTGATGCTCATTGGAAACCTTCTCATTCCCTATTCTCTATTTGTTTGAGAACCCAAGTTTTAACTCCTCCCATCAGGTGCTCACAGTACCTATTTTAGCTATTTGGCACAGGCAGCCACCTTGCTCCCTGGCAGAGAGTGAGGATGGCAGAAGTGCTGCCACGGCCTCTTTTCTGACAGCAGTGGGTGCCCATCCTAGCCAAACCTTAGCTCATGCCTCCTCCACTAGCCCCTCATCACGCATAGCTTTCCCACCACCACGGTGTGGCAGCAGTTCTTTCCCTGTCCTTTCCTCATATTAGAGGGTGAGGGCCTTTTACCTAAATTACCTCTGCAGCTCACCAAACGGAGCCAGGAGCAGCCTGGGGCAGCTGCTCCCAAGAGCTCCCAAGGCTTGCAGTGGGATCTCAGAAAATCCGCACCATCCATTCCTCTCTCTCCTCTCTGATTTCTTCTCCAGGTTGAGAAATCCTTTTTTAGAAACTGTACTTTTACACAGGAGAAAACAGAAGCATACAGAAATTGAAGCATAGTGAATCAGTAGTAAATTAAGTATATGCATTTGGCAAGAGCCTGAGGCTCTAAATGCTGTGCTGTGCTATTTTTCTATAGGAAAATCATACAGTAGTCA